ATTACGACACATTACCTATACCTATCCCGGCTACTGCTCGTTAAAAGCACGTGTCGGTGCCCTGTGTTGTTATATATGCTCTCGCGCACTTAAAAATGTACCTACGTCAATTTTCCTTACCTTTTTTTTCCCCTCATTTCGCGCTGTGCTCAGCTAGGCGTGGAGAATTTTATTTTTCCGAGCCTATATATTATTATGTACACGAGCAAAGTACCTACTTGAGAGAGCTGCGTTATATACTTATCTCTCTCTCTCTCCCAGTGGTGATTTTTTTTTCTTTTTTTTTTATCTTCAAGCTCGCACACGTACACGGAACGGAGGAGGGTAGTACGTACAGACACACGGTATAACAGGGGAGCGGTTCGTTGTTAACGCAACGGTACACGTTGCACAAGCTGCCTTTGGAATTCCGAAATCAAAGCGCTGCGGCGATAAAAATAAAAATAGTTTGAGCAGAGACGGGGATGTTGGGAAGGAGAAAAAAAAAAAAAAAAAAAAAAAAAAAAGGAATTTTCATGTACAGAGCGGTAAATATACGCGAGCATTAAAATTTTACCATCAGCACGGGGGGGCCGCGCTGGATTTTTCATTATCCTCGCAAAGATGTTCTCGATGTACATAGGTAGGAAAAGGTATACGGTAACATAATGATAAGTAGCGGAGAGCTACACATCAGCTGATGCTGGTGCCCCTTGGCGCGTGTAATTGTGAATGCGGTGCAAGTATCCTGTAATTAGCGGCTCGAGGAGCAGATAGGAGGTATACAAGCAACCCGCGTATAATATACCCAAGACTGATTAGCGAGTAATTAAGCGGGTATTCGTTAAAATCCGCAAAAGCCCGTCTCGTCATTGCACACGCGGGTGTGCACGCTCATTTTCCTCCCAAGCTGCTACTTCGATGATGATCATACGTATATACATACTGACCATTTCATGTTATTTATTTAACCCCATCCGTCATTGGTATTGTTGGGCAGGGTTTTATCGCGCAAAAATGCTTCCCAAGCATATAAGAATCGGCGAAACTTTAGTGGCGCGAGTTTATCACGCTCACCCCGGCGTGCCCATACGTCTTGGATCGCTTTTTGCACCCCCGGTGTGTTTTTTTCATTCTCGAGAAAGCGCGACGAATCTCGTCACCGGATCGCGAGTTTCGTGCATTAGTTTCGGCTCGAGGAGATTTTCATCTTTCGCTTGCCCTATACATGTATGTATATTGTGTATATGTACCATCAGAATACCGCGAGTACGGAGGTACGTGTTGAACGATGGTGCGGTCGATAGTGGGCAGGGCGTCATTACGCGTCTTTTTCTTTTTCTCGAAAAAAAAAAAAAAAAAAAAAAAAGGCCCGCGCGATTTTTGCTCCCTCCCTGTATCGCGTGCGCGCCGCCCTTGGCTAAAGAATAATAACGCATGTCATTAGTCGCCCCCGATGTATATGCACGGGTCGTCGAACTTTTGCCGCGTTGTAACTCCTTTGCGTTTGGATTTGGCGGTGAAAGTGCTGGTTTTTCTTTCTTTCCTCTGGCGAGGCGATTTGTCTTCTTCTTCTCTTTCCGGATCATCCGTCGCGGCGGTGTTTTTACGCCGCGAATTGAAATCTAGTCGTTTTCCACTCCGTAAATCCTTTTACGAGTGTAACGCCGGATCGGATGGTGCCCGAGGCGGTTTGGCTGGTCGCGGGGACAAGTGCTTTTTTTTCTCTCTCTCTCTCTCTCTGAAACATAGCCTCCGGGAGGAGGAAGAGAATCGTAAAATCGCAGGTGCCGGAGAAGTACTTTCGAAAATCATTTCAAAGTCCCATAGTCTTGTACACCTACATAATATACATACACAAGGAAGAGTGACCATTTTGTATTATTGCAGGCTGTACTTTATTTATCGTCTTTTGCGTGGGAGGAGCTCATCGAAAAATCCTCGTTAAGACTTAGTCTGGTAGGTATATCCCAACACTGTAGCCATTAACCGGGGGCCATTTCAATGAAGTGAAATCAAACAAACGGCGAAAAAGAAAATTTCTCACTCGAGAGGAGGAAGAAAGAGGATCAAACTCCGTGTGAGAGCGGGTATATGTCCATAAATCCATCCGGGGCGCAACATAAATTAGCCAACAAGGATATCTCGTCCCCGTCGTTTCATTGTTTTCCCCTTCTAATCGCGGGCCAACATCGCAGCCGGGCGGAATATTTCACCTCCTCCGCGCGCGTCTCCCCGTAAATTCATTACAATAATTCCAGACGCCGTAGGTATACACGCGACAACCCAGATCGAGTTCGGTCCGCCAAGGGCACGGTGTACATGCATCATCGTAATAACTCACGCCTTCCTGCATGTTGTGTATATAATATATACACACACGTTGCACGGCAGAGGCGAAAACATCACCGAAAATATTGTGTATGTGCGTACTTATCCCGCGTGCGTTTGAAAAGGCGCTATTGAAACTCGAGGCGGGACGATAAGTCAAAGAGACTGAAAACCGGTAGTCCCTCGATTCTCACGCTTCGGAGGCGCCAGGAACAACAACCATACGTATACATATGTAGGTGCGCATATATATACGGTAAGATAAAATTTTGTTTGCTCAATTATATGCCCGCGGCTTTCGCGCCGTGCGCCGACGTTAATATATGTGTCGCCGCACTGTTTTCTCATTTACGCGTTAATGGCCATCGGCGTAATTACCAAACGACCCATATTTTTCACGATGCAACGAGTCCAATATATGGCCATCGGGCAGCTCTATTGGCGCTTTTCGGGAGCTTATGATTTTTTTTTCATCGGCGTTTGATCTCTCGATACAATTACACCTCGCGTAATTCTCTCTCTGGTATCCGGTTCTCGCGAAACGTGTGTACATATACACAGCCAAAAGGAGATTTTCTTAAAGAAGGAGGGGGAAAAAAATCAGTGTCCCGGTCTCTGGTCTACTTTTCAAATTTTATAATCTACGATGCAGCCGGTGCGCGTACACGATGTCGCTCGTTCGGAAAACTGGTAACGGGTAAAAATGATTTTCTCTCTCTTGGACGCGCGGCTGCTGCTTTCACGCGAAATTTGTTGATAACTTTCGTTCCCCGCCTCGTAAAATGTTTAATTAATTGTACGCTCCGGGCTTTCTAGCGCATACACGAGAAAATTGCCTTTTTTTTTTTTTTACACGCACATTCGTGCGCGACGCGATGGATTTTTCATACGTGCCAAAAGTCCAAGTATACACACGATTTCTTTCGCTCCTCTTGGGTGGTCATCGAGAAAACTCTATCCGCGTTTCCGTTTACGACCAAGACGAAGTAGGAGTCATCGTACACGAGCGGTACAGTATACGATGACACGATAGGGACAATTAAACATTCGGCCGATTAAATGAATGGGCTATGCGTGTATAGGTACCTTTTCGCGCTACGTTTGATATGTAAGACGCGTGCGCGCGTGAAACGTTATATTTGTTCTGCGTCCATTATCCTTTGTTGAACAACGAGAGCCACAAATGAAGAAGAAGCAAAAAAAAAAAAAATCCCACAAAGACGAAGACGCCGTATAGCCGCGATGAAAAAACCAACAGTAGCGGTGGGTATATATACAGGAGCGATGAAAGGAAAATACGCTCGGGCGTCTCCGCGCTTACTTGGGTGTATAATATTTGTATGTATGCATGTACAGGTTGATCGGTGGAGAGCCGCGGTTCTGTCTCGTCGCGCTCGATTAAACGCGAAGAAGATGGGGCCTCGCGCGCGCGCGCTCACAATTACAACGTTTCCCGTCGTTACGAGCCAGGTGAGCGAGACCGATTTTCATGCCCACATCCGGGGCTCCATCACCTTTTTTTTTTTTTTTTTTTTTTTTACTGTACGTATGAAGCTTCGAGCGTATCTTTTTGTCAGCGAGTTTGATCCCCCTTTTTTTACCCCACTACTTTTCTTATCTTTATTATGTCGCAGGGGCTCGTTAAACGGTGATTTGTAAATATCCACGAGGTTTATTTTTGGAAATGCGAGCGGTACAGCCGGAGGAACATCTCGAGGTGAATGGGTTTTTCTCACTTGTGGCGACAGAAACGATGATTATCCCCCGTTCTGTATACTAGGCACACCTATTGTTGACTCTAAAGTCTGGATTAAAATAATTTTTGATGGATAAAGAAAAAACAAAATCACGACTTTGGCCATTGCCATGCGAGTACAGTATAATATACTTTTCGGTAAATGCAATGTAGGTGTACAAAAATCAAGGTCAAGCTGTGAATATCATTTGATAAAGGTATACCATCACACGATCTTGGCGCGTGTGCACTGTATACCAAGCAAACGCTGTATTTAATATGGATTATGTGATGATACCACCACAACACCCAGGTGCACACCAGCCGAAATTTGTATGCGCACTCGGTCTTATCTCTCGGCGCTCCGTTATTTCTGCGAAAAATACACAACCCGAGTTTCTGCTTTATTTTCGGAAACCAAGATAAAAGTATTGTATACCGATCCGTCATCTATACCTTATACATTCTGTCGTTGGACAGAATCTCCGTGGTGGCGATAACTCGCCATCGTACTCGCGGACAAGAGGGGATTTGGAAAAATCACGCGATAAAATTAGCAACACCTTTCCAGTGGCTGAATAATATATACACTTGCTCTTGCGCTCGAGGGCAGTTTACGGATAGCGCACACGTATTCGCGTTTACATACTTATAACGGATAACGCGCACCTTGCACTTGGATTCACGTGTGTATGTATGGGTAGAGTAATGCTCGAGGAAAAATCAGCGGACAGAAACGAGGAGCAATTAAACGCCATAATCTCGAAGAGCACTTGCCGCCGATTAGATGTGTATATATATGTTGTCGCGCGGGAGGAGCTGCTGCGCTAGCTGTGACTCATTGTATAAATGAATACGTGATTACGTGCACTGATGGGTATAATATATACTCTGTGTAGCGAGAGGGTGCGATCAGATTTTGTGTTTTTGAGCGAGATAAGTCACTACAATCTTCTTTTCTTTTATTATTTTTTTATTGAAACATGTGTGGATGACGACGGCAGCGCGATTATCACTTGGCCGTGCACAGTGGATTATTAAAAAAAAAAATTTTTTTTTCTCCCTCTTTCGAGGTCGTGACCCACGAGTCCTTTTTTTAATACGCCCTTGCACCACCTTGGGGGTTGTTGCAATGTAATATATTGAAGACACTTTAACTCCACTTTTACAAAAAATATATTTCATTTACTGTCTCTTTTATTTTCGGTCGTCACTCGACCTTTGTCTGCTGTTTCCGCTTCGACGCCAAAAAGGCCTTTTGCACCACCTCGGTAAAGAGGATCGTGCCAGCAAAGACCAATATCGTGCCCATCCAGTGGTAAAACGTAAACGGATTCTGAAAGTAGATGATTGAGAATATGAGCGACAAAAACTTGCGCAGCGTCAGTATCAGGGTCACCGTCAGGGACGTGCACTCGGTCGTTAGCTTAAACACCGATCCGACGCACATGTATCTAAAACCGGCGAGTTGAGGAAATTCTTTGGGAATTATTTATTATCTATTTATTTTTGTTGGTTGAAAAAGGATACTGCGTGAGCACGTTGCCGATCAGGTAGGCAAACATCCTCGGCATCGCCAGGCCGACTATCGGTATCCTCAGAGCGGGCGAGTTGGCGGCCACGAGGGCGTGCTCCCACAAGTTTGGCACCAAGAAGACGAAGAACGGCAGCGGCAATAGATGCTAGAAGAGAAAAAAAAAAAAAAAAAAAAAAAAACGTATTTGGTAGTAAACGAAAGAAAAGGAGGTGGCGTCCCTACCGAGTAGTAGAGGGCTTCCCGTGTGTTCTTGCCGTAGGTGGAGAACAGGGTCTCCTGGTAAATGCCCATCCTAGCGGAAACGAAGAGAGCGACCGTGAGTATGGCAACGCCGACGGTCCACCAGAAAAAATCGGTCCATAAGCTCGTGGGCACCGAGCCAGGGCCCACCGGCACCGTCGACTTTACCTCCTTGCCGCTGGCGATCGTGCAAATCGCCACCCCCACGGTTATCATGAGCACCGAGGTGTACTTGTCGAAGGTGTACCTTCTCCTTAGGATCAGTATGCCCATCGCCATGTTGGCTATCAGGGAACCCTGGATGAAAAACCTTTCCTCGTTTTACGTGATGAAATTACAATGCACGCAGCTGTGTTAATGTTTGTACAACGCACCGAACGGAATATCATGTGCAGGGGCATGGGTATGTTGAAGTTGAAGGCGTAGTTGTTGAGGACGCTCGAGACGAAGAAAAAGACGACCAGCGTTGCGTACTTGCTCATTGGTACGGCGGATCGTACTGTGCCGCATTTGGACGTGAAGAGGAAGCCATCGATGGCGATGAACAAAAATTGCACGAAAGTCACCAAATTGCCACCGCCTGGGTCCTCTCTGCGTGGGTGTTTCGTTGCGTTTCAACAGTGGGACTTTTTTTTTTAAATTGCAAGTAGGTGCTTTTTTTCTTCAGTTTGAACGTACAAGTGTTCACTTTAGGAAAATAAACAAATGTGCTATGGTACTTGCAATAGAAATGATTGTTTTCGCACAGCTCTAAACTCGTAAATGTACACCAATATAATATATAAGTATAAGACAGACGCAACAAAAGTAAGGTTAAGTGCATCTAACGAGACGACGATTCGAGTGAGGATAAAAACCGTAGGAAATGAAGCACGTACTTGTAGTGTATAATTATAGAGGAATAACGAAGAAACGGTATAAATACTCACTTCATTAAAAGTTCGAGGAACACCAAATTGGAGCAGCAGCCGAGAAATACGAGAAAAGTCGCTGTTGCGGCGCCCATGTTTTTCAAACGCGACAACTATTGGTGTATAAGTTACAATAAACGCGCACGAATTTTTTTATAATTTTGAAAGGGTTGTTGCCGCCTCCTGAGCTCGCGCACGTGCTCTCGTTGCTTCTTCTTCTGCTACGCAAGTATATACTGCGGCTTCTGCTGCATATGCACTCGACAGCAGATCCATTCGGGACTAAAATTAATATGTGTGTGTCATATATTTATATACCTACTGAGGTATATACATCACAAGCTCTGCCTTGTCATTATGCCAATAACTACAGCACTGTTCCGATACACATGTGTGTAGGTATGTGTCTATATTTATATACCTCGAGGCTAAGTGAGATAACAGAGTCAAGTGCTGACGTTGCTGGCCTCCTACATAATTACATTTTATGTGTACATCACTTTGGCGCTTACAATCATCTTTCTCTGTCTCCTTCGTTCGCGTCGATTAATTTTTTATTCATCCGATGATGCTGTTGACAATGTCTAAATTACGAATGTTGCAGCCAGCGGGTGTACAGTTTTCAGCGAAGAGTGTCCAAATGAAATAAATTCCTTTAGCGTTCGTAGTTGGAGGACTACAAAATACGCACTGCCTATGTACTTAACTAGGCTTGGATTTACCTATGGTTGCTGTTTTCACGTCGAAGGTCGGTCGAAGGTGTCATAATATTATTTACGACGGTTCTCTGTGTGGGGGGATTTATGCAGTTGCAGGAAAAAGGGACGGCAACGCGTATACACAAGTATATATATATTTTGCTCGTTCAACGAAGGCAAGTATCTTTATTACCAACTGTGGTTAAAAATTATTACAATTATTATATAATTGCAGTTTGATCTTTTTTTTAAGTGCAGAGGGCACCGTTGGCAAGTCAGACAGTTTTTTTTACATTTTTTTCAGTACATGTATTGGATATATTATTGTTACCTTATCATCCTTTGATTTTACACTTTGAGCTACTTATAAACTGGAGTTGCCCATGATTCGCTTGAAACAACAGTGATAGACGCACGAGAGAACGGAAAAAAAAAAAAAAAAACATCCGTCCTCCCGTATGGAGAAGTCTCCACGATGATATTACTCTCTCGCGCGCAAAAGTTCAAAGTAAAAAAGATAAGCTCATCTGTAACGCCTCGAGCCGGTGCTGTCGACGCGCCGCGTGTATAACAGAGGAGAACTGCTTTATTTCCGAAACGCATCACCATCGCCGTTGTACTTTATTTATTTTTTTAATAATTTCCTCTTGTGCTCATCTGCCGTTTGCTTCTCGCTCCCCATCGTAACGTCAATGATTTTTCTCTTATCCATCGTTTTATTTTTCCTTTTAACTCAAAAATCAGACTCCCTCCCCCTCGAAAAATTTCTTTCTTTTTACCAAAAGGCAGCTTCAGTTACATCGAAAACTGATAAACATACCAAGTGACGAACGCATTTGTAATTTTTCACTTCCACGTGACGTAGCTCGACTCGAAACAACAGCTCGGATCGGGGAAAAAAAAAAAAAAAAAAAACAGTCTTTGGGAAAAACCCCGTGGTACGTGAAAACTCGTCCACTCCCAGCGTGCCTCAACGCACAATTGGTAAATCGGCGCGGAAGACCACCGCGTCGAACCCACCCGACACAATTGGGAGCTGCTATAGGGAGTTCGGAAGAGAGGGACTTTTCGGCCACCGACGCGCGGTATATATATACACCTGTACCAAAATTAAATTAACGGTTTATAATGTATACCGATATACTGCAAAGAACCGATGCCTCCTTTCGCCCCCGACTTACCTTACGAACACCGGGTATGTATACCCATGTGCGTCCCCTTGCAACGTGTATACATAGCTGTATGCACCTCGATGTTGAGTTGACGTATTGCGTGTAGTGCAGCCGAACAAGGGTGTATCCCGTGTGTTCCGGTTGGCGAGTCCGTGACTGCCACACGGTGGAGTCGTCCGAGGATACGTGTCAAATATTTACTTCCCCGTCACGGCCACCCTTTGTGTACGCCTATGGACAAAAGAGGTGAAGTTGCAGTTACTCGTCTCCCCCCGGCTGTCAAAATAAACCCGCGACTGGGTAGAGCTTGGCGAATCGATTACGTCCCGGATAGCGTTCCTCCGCTCTCTCTCTCCCTGGTAAAAGAATATTTAAAAAGTCGCCGATGGACTCGCGTATATCAAATATAATACGAATTCGCGAAAGTGTTGGGGCCGGTGCGGCCGATAAGATTTCTCGGCTCCGCTATCTATACCGGCCGCTCTCCCCTATACGCTGTCGAATGAACTTTTCTCAACATTTCGCGCCAATAAAATGGAAATCAGAGAGATTAGATGTTTCGCGTGTGGTGTGTACAGGCGCAGGTACGTATACGAAGCTTCGTTTACAGAGCTGTATACATTCGATTGTTTTTTTTTTTTTTTTTTTTGTTTTGTTTTTTCATTCTCGCTCTCGAGCTCTGTGTGTGTACCATATTATATTCAGGTCGATCGCCGATCGAGATAACTGGCGTGGTGTGTGTATAGATGCCGTTTTGTTTTAAACAGAATATTTTCTTTTTTTTTTTTTAATCAAACACACAGCTGAACAAACGCACTTTTTCCAACTCTCTCCATGTACTACTCTTCTCTCGCGGGAAATCGATTTGCATAATAAATTCGTGTGTACACGCGCTTGGAGTACAGATGTAACTACTTGTGTACCCTCTATATATACATATAACATACGTATACAAAGTGTGTTGTCGTATTAGGAAAATTTATCTTTTCCCGTGTGTGTTGTGTTATAATGTCGTGCATTCAGGCGTCAAGGTGCGCGCGCTTTTCTCCCCCCCCCCTCACACACCTATTTTCCTATATACCATAGAAATTCAAAAGCAGAAAAGAGGAGTCGATCGAGTGAAGGAAATACTGTATATACGAGCTGGTAATCCATTCGATTTCTTGTATGTGCCCCGGTAAAACATGACGTTGAATACTTATGCTGTATACACACAGCGTCACGTCGCTCTTCTTCTTCTCCTTTTGCACCGATGCCGTAAAATATACCTACGTTCGATGGATTATTCGCTCGAAGGCAAGAGAGAAAAAGTTACACCTCGCACGTACCTTTGGAAGAAGAAGGGGGAAAAAAACCATCGATCGAGACGAAACTGGAGAATCTCTCTTTTTTTATACGTATATATTATTTTCTACAAAATTTCGTACGTAGCATGTCCAGGATTGGGGGAAAAAATTCCTTCAACTAAATAATGAATTTTGCGAGCTTCCTTCCCTCGGCCCCCACTTCACTGTACCACGTGCCTGTAATCTCGCCAGAGTTCGCGGGTATACGCTTATTTTTGGCTTCGCTCTCGTGTTTTAATAATAAGCCGCGTGTGACGTGCGCTTGCAAGCTCGCCCCTACACGTACATGTATACATTATTTTCACAAGACCCCGACTGCTTCGCCGAATAGTTCTCCACAGTCTACATCATTTTTGTTGTATGCGTGTGTTAACCATAACTTTATTTATTAATGTAATTTTTTCTCTTTCGTCTGTTTCAGGTGAGTGTACCTACTTTTGCATCCGTGACTTCTAGGTTTGTGAGTAAAAAAAAAAAAAAAAAAACATCACAGCCACGCCATAACACGAAGTAGCGCTGCTCTGTCCAATGCACTATTATACAGACGTTTAGCTCATTGGCGTCATTACCGTATGCTCGTCGCGCCCTCCCGATATTGACGTATCAGCAACGCACACCTAGAAACAAATTACCCGAATGCTATTTGTCGCGCGATTACGCATCAATGCCATTATCTCTCCTCGGCAGATATTTATTACGTGAACTCATTGTCAGGTGCATATAGTTGGTATAGAGAGTACCTACAACCCGAGGGGCACGGCATACGTAGCAAACAATGGGAACCAATAACCAATCGTCCGTGGAATATTAAGAGTTAAAAGTATCGATACAAATGGCCAGTGTACATATAGTTGACCGGAAGCTCGGAGGACGTCGACAAAGTCATATTATGGCATACGCATGGGTACGATTAAGCGTGTACGCCTTGCTTGTACATGATATTACTAAAACGTATCGACCCAGCCCATCCGTCATCATAGTCGCCAAAAGCCTGTAGCCTGTATCGGAGCTTGCATCATCAAACCGCGCGAAATTAATTGCCAAGAGAAAGGTGTGTCTCCTCGTGATGCGCGGCTGAGCCTATGGGTACACCCGAGCGCTACTTGTCCTTTTTTGGCTTTGTCCTCCTCCCTTTTTCGTCTTTTAATCACCTTCCCTCCGTCTCCGATTGCCCCTCACAATGTGTCGGTAGGTCATCGATTGTTGGCTCTCGAGATGATCATGCGAGGCTTGGGATGGGCCGGGGATTTAAGTGCCCAGGGCGTGTGCCCATCGTAGTCGAGCTCCTTCCGTTTTTTTTTTTTTTTTTTTCCTTCCCGGGCGATTAACTTTGAATGTCTTCTCTTTGCGTCCTCGCGACATTATAATATATTGAGTCCACGCACCGCGTGCAAATGTACTTGGAAAATATATGGTTTTTTTTTTTAAATATTTTTTCCAGTGCAGCTTGTTGTTGCCTATAGACATTCGTGTACAACAGCGGCCGTGCACGTGTCCAAAATGGGAACGAAAACGAAACAAAAGGCGCGAGCAAACAACCATCGCTTCCTCGTGCTCCATGTATATATGTATTCGTGCACAGTATAGGTACACACATACCGAATGTATAAATTTCAGGTGTACAAGTGCGCGTACCATATATGCGCCAGGTTGAATTTTCAAGACAACGAGTGCGGGGTACCTAGCAGAGATTTCCTATCTCGTCGCCAGAAAAGAGGATTGCATCTTTCACATTTTTCCCCCCCATCGTTTCGGCCGATTTGTCCATTTGACTTTTCAATCCTCCCTCCTACGAGGTAATACAAGGAAAGAGAGTCGCAGAGAGATAGAGAGAGAGAGAGAGAAAATCAAACACAATGTGTGAAAAGTTAATGATCCACGTGCGTTTGCGCGTTTATATGGGAAAAGCCATTAAGGTATATATGGTATCTGTTATGGTATATTACGCTTATTACGCGCAAACGTACAAGTTATCTAATCGCTCAAGTACCTCA